AACACTTTCAAATTAAAAAAAACAACGTGCGAAAAAACTATTGAAATTCATGAGAGTATAACATTGTTAGTGCATAATAACCAGCTGATGAATTGTGGTTGTTGTTGTTTTGAAACGACGTTAACATATATTAATAGTAACATAACGCACTGAGAGGCATGGAAGCATACTGATCATATTTGAAACTAAAAGAAAAGTGATATGTACATTCTATACATCTATTTTATCTATTTATTGTTTACAAAAATTACTATTCACAAATGAATAGAAGAACACTGAAGCACTAATTAAAAGTATACGTTATATAGTATAGTGATAACATTATTTACAAAGGAAGATACTTTTATAATTTCTCTCGTTTGCAAGATTTCAAATACATTAGGAATTTACTTCTTCTATACATACATGTACCATTGTTACCTTCATTTGATATCTGTAAATTATATTTAGGTATCTTATATTGTATAGCCATAAATCAGAATATGTACATACATAATTGTGTTAATTATTCAATTATTGTTTTTAGTTTGTCTCTCTTCATCATGGGTGGTATTTTGGTGTATACCAGTTTTTTAATAGGAAATTAGTCCCTTTGTTACCAACATACTTTCGTTATATGGGTAAGTCTGTCGGTATGAACGTCAAAGATAACTTAAAAATGTGCACAATATATGCACTTACTCTATCACAAAATACCAAGAATTTTGCGTTTTATTATCATGATTACAATATTGAGTAAAATAATAAGTTATATACATATACAACATTAATCATTTCGTTACTACGACTTCGAACTTTCGTAACTCATTATTCAAAATATGCAGAGAGGTTCGGCAATCTTAGCCAATCAATTGACTTCGATTTTCATGGATAACTGTACAATATGCATACTATACTCAACAATACAATATATATAAAATTTTAATTTATAACATAACCTCCAATGGTAGACAAAATATTAAAAACGATGTCCTTATAAATCGTAAATATTTCATAAACAATACAAATGACCTCTATCGACTAATAATATACAGCATGAGCTATTAACACTGATAATTTCCAATATTTCTTACGAATTTCATATTTCCAATACACCTATACAAAGACGCTATTAAACAGGCTGCTATTTAATTATTGATTTGAATGCTTCTCACCTCTTCATGGCTGGGGTAATGGCTTATTTTCTACATCGTCCTTTTACGAGCATTAACATAAACAGCAAAAGAAACGGATCTCTAAAAGTCTGTTTCTGTTATTCTCCAATAGCAACATTAAGCATACTTTAATGAAGATTCCAAAATGTGTTATCCATAAATTAATTTTATTAAAAGACATTGTTTCATTAAATACAATTAAAACAAATGTGCAATAAATGGACAATATGAGCAAGCACGTCGATGTGAATGTCAAAGATAACTTTAAAATGTGCACAATCAACGCATTTAATTTCCCCCTAATACAAAAGAGGTTGGCCATTTTAATAACTTGCATGTATTTGCAATATGATAAGGTCACTCATTTACAAGATAAAGAACGCAGTCCATAGGACATTCTAAGCCTTACAAAAAAATCAATGAATTGAGGATAACTATAAAGTATTAAAAGTGTATGATTTTTCTTTTGTATGATAAAATGCAAATCAAATATTGTAAGTCCACAATGAGTTTCAATATAAAGCCATGGCATTTAAACTGCGACTGACATAGATATTTGAAATTGGTGCACTTAAATTCAAGATAGATGACACAACAAATATTCAAAAGATGATAGCAGGATCAAAGTTTTGGCACATTATGTATGCTAAGCCGTATAGACTGTACATATAGTACACGATAAACAGGATAGGGAAAACAACACCTGGGTTCGTTACCGTATGCTAGATAACCGATTCAAAATAAAGATATTCATGTAATGCAATCAAGAGAATAACATAACTGAGTAACATATTTGGGTCAGCTCTAAGCCTTATGTGGCAAGGAGAATAAAAAAGAAGGAGAAAGTAAAAGAAGGAGGATTTTAATCTGCCTTTGACGGACTCACATTAATCACATTATATATTTTTTTCTATTTACAAAGATAATATAAAGAAACTTTCTACTTGTACGTGATTAAAGTGTTCCTCTTTTCGTTTTATAACTTATTCAAACTATGGGAATCAAATATTCTTAGATTATGAAATTAACATATGATATACACTACGCATAACTCAATGCAGTAAGTTGCTTATATTTCATCATATTCTGCAATGAAGCACAATTTCTCTATCGTGCGTGGCATGTGTTGGAAATGGCCTTCCATAACATGATACACGCATTAATATATCATACAAGCCGTTCTGTAGTACGTGTATATCAATGTAAACTACATTGGGAGGTGTATACATAGATACATGTAAAATATATTTGGAAGTTAAAGGTAAAGACCAGTTATGGTCATGCGATTGCATTGTGAAAGAAACGTTGTGGAATCGATCAGAAAAGGTGGATCATCTAGCATCTAGCATCTGCAAGGTTCTGGAATCATCAAAATGATAAGAAATTTGGCCCATTCTTCGTAAAGTTACAAGCACTATACACAGAAAGATGTATATGGGACTACCCTATATCTCTCACAGACCATGAGAGAAACAAATTTACCAAATATATGAATTAGTAGGCGGTTTCCCGGCAAATTTTTTATCATCATGTATTAGTCAAAACATATTCTTTCACATGATTGGTAATGAGAGCTTCCATTTCATTTTTTGAAATTGGGGCGTTTCCAATACTGGTCTTTACCTTTAATTGATCAAGCAAAAATTATTTTTCATTCTACATGGTTTGCAATAGCGATGATGAAGAAACTAACATTAGCATGAATAACATATTGCCAATATAGTAAACAAGAGAACAAACACTCTATTCACAAAATACTAATAAATGAAAATCGAATATAAACGAAAATATATATTTCTTCATGTATTTGTTAGTATTATCATATATTTAAACAAAAAAGTTATATCAAGAGTGTGAATATTTTGTCTTAATATATTGTAAAAACGTAGAGGAGGTATACGAACGGGTACGTGAGGTGCCACAGAGAAGGAAGCATGAATTGTCTACAAGCCCCAGAATCTAAATGGGATTCTGTTTGGGGTGTTAGAGTGGTACCCGATGTAGGTACCGTATTAACAGTCTGTCTCGTAGTTTCTTTGCTACGTGGCCACACAAAGCCATTACACGTTGTTTCACTTACATTTAAAGATACATCATGTGAGCAACAAGAGAAATGAGTAATATGGGGTAGCCAAAATATACGTCTGATAACTTGGCCATTATTTGTAACATTACCCCTGAAGTCAATCATCTGATCATTCTGGTAACATGATAGTGTGGGTTTTATGCTTCCAATGGTGGCTCGGCAGTGTACTTCGTAAGGGTAGTCAACATTTTCACTAAAAGTGATGAAGCATTTTGCAGATCCGGGGGGAACTTGTACAACAATCTCCTTCTTCATAGTTCCATGCCGAACGTCCTCAAAACTCTGCCACACTGTCGTTAATACGTACCCGTCCTCATCTAGAGTATCAACGTCGTCTATCATCAGATTCACACAAGGAGAAGTGTCTAAATCTGTGACTGAGGTGGTAAATCTTGGTAACTGGGATGGATTTTTGAAGCCCGCGATATCATTTTGTCCATTAAAGCAGAAAGGACGAGGCTCGGATTGAAATCCAAGTGTGTAATATGTCAAAATCTGGGATGTGTTACTAGGTGACAATGGGAGATGGAATGGGACAACACCAGGTTTACCTGCTTGTAACGTGACTCGTTCGATGCTATCGCTGCCTGCTACAAGAACCGGACTTCCAGCAAGAATGATGGCCAAAGCGATGATCATGTGGAGGAAAGTTTGTACGAGGCCCAGGATTGAAGGACATCGGTCAACTGATTGTTGACGTTTGGTCTAGATGAAAACGGTACGAATTTGAAAGAACGTTGTGAATTTGACAAAAGTCACAGAATATCTTAATCAACAAGCATCCGATTTGAACAATACAACATTGGGGGGGGGGGGGACACCATTCAATGCTGGCATTTAATGTTCCACAAGGAATCGAGTGACATTTCTAAATATATGCAAAAGATTAAATTATATTAATTCCTTACCCCCTGAAAACTATTTGATAGAAAATATAACGAAGCAGTAAAAACCTGACTTGATAATGAACGCCTTCCTGTAAAAATCGTAGGTTACTTATTTCATTTCATTCACTGGTATTGTTCTCATATACGTTTTGTTTTGCACAGATGCAGAATGATAATCCAATTTTATCTTAAGCTTGTTATTCTATTTCATAACTTTCACAGCAATCTGTTGATAAATAGTAAATGGGAGCACTATTTCTCTCTTACCCTGATTTTTTTCCGAACTGGGTTTGAGGAGGTTCCATGGGTGGAAACAGGGTTTCGGTCATACAACTGTTGTTGAACGACAGCACGCGTGCGTGTAGGGAAGCTGTTGAATTTAATTGTAAAAATAAGTTAGCTGATGTAAAAAAATAAAAGCCAATCGAATTGGGTCCCTAAAATCTCTGAAATATAGAAGTGTATGTATGACTTTTGACAAATTGACGTACATGTACATCGAAGAAAGCCCACATATGTCAAAGGAAAAATACCTAGATTTAAAATATTGACCCCAACAGTACCCTGGGTACCACATCAGGTCTTGCTTCACTGTTCTCTAGCTTCTTAAGGATCGCCAGGAAGGTAAAATATCCGAAAGTGCTCTAATCCTGCGAAAAGGTTAAGTCATGCAGTTTACGTACATAATGCTTTTTTTCATAAACGATTATTCATATACATTATGAAGAATATCTAAAATAATTCTAAATATCAATAAACATGAAGAAAACTGTTAATATTAATGATGCAAGTACTTGTGGAGCGAAATATATAAAATAAATACATCTCATTCTACGAATGATAAGGTTTCCTCATTATAAAAGAAACGGAAAGTTACTGGTACCTCTCAATCTTTGATGGTTCGTTGATTGGTAGATCATTTCCAGCATTCATCCGTGAAGAAGATTCCTGAAGGAAAAATCAATTACATCATAGAAAATGTCATATTAGAATGCTGTGGAAGGATATGATATATGAAGACATAATGGCGACAATTAGTTTTGGTTAGCTTGGATGCTCTAGGATGAATTAGACCAAACAACGAGAAAGACAAAATTCAAAATACATGCATAAAATGAACACGTTGTTGTTTCTTACAAAAAAAATAGCTGACTACTGTGTATAGTAGTATTTTATGTAATTTTTCATTCTCTATTTTTAGAATTTGAGTCCTTTTCTCATACATAGGTGTGTTTGAAGCAAAACATATTAAGGAATCTACACCGTAGGGCTATGTACAAAAGGTCATTAATTTTTGCTTTCTACGAAGATTTGTTTTTCATCTCTTTGATGATTTTAAGATTGGCTGAATGGATGCTTCCAAACATATCTGTATTTTCCATTTTCTTTTCTATCCCAAGTTTCAATCAAATATATGGCATTTGCTTTGTTTAGAGAAAACTTAAACACATAATAACCACTCACTCTAATTTCCGTGTTTTCATCAATTAGTGAGTGACATCTATATTCCGGTTCTTCAGAAGGATGACCGTCAGTTTCCATGGTTTGTAGATAGGGTGGATCGAATCCGCTGTATTGCCACGTCTTAGATCCACGCGGGGAAGAACAGTCTGTGCCATTTGTTGTGGTGTTTCTTTTTCTTGTCCCGGGGCACGTTATTGCTTCCATCTGATTTAGCATCGGATCTTGTCCACCTTTTCCAGGATATTTCAGCGTAGCATGAATGAAAGGATTGTGCTCCTCATTGTCACCCTTTTCATCATCTTTGGTTCTTGTGGGGAGACTCTTCAAGGAGGGTTCATCGGCTCCTCTCCTCGAATTGTCTACCTGAGATGCTAACTGTCGAGCACGTGACTGCGTGTCTGCATCTTTAATTTTGACCACCTTCTCCTTCGCATAATCTCTTGTTGCAAGATGTTTAGCACCATAGTGGAGGCCCCCGGATTGTAGATCTCCAGCATCTTCTGCATCTGAGTCTTCTTTACGTGGGGAAATGCATTCGTTTACGTTTCGACGACCTACATTTTTTTCAACATCATGGGCCATTGTGGAAAGATTCTTCAAGGAGAGTTCAACGGTTCCTCTCTTCGCACTATCAGCTTGATTGCAATCATTCCCATCTTCTGCAGTGTCTACCTGAGATGATAACTGTCCTGTACGTGAATGCGAGTCTGCATCATTCAGTGATACCGTGACATATCCACTTGTGATGAGATTCTGGCGGCCTCCGGATCGTGGATCTCCTGTTTTGTCTTTATCAGGGCAACCTCTATGTGATGAGATGTATTCTATTGCTTGTGTATGACCTGCGTTCACTGCTACCAGAAGCGGCGTCAAACCATCTATATCCCTCACGTGCATGGCAGCTCCATTCAATACAAGGTAATCGACTATGTCTTGGTGTCCTTCTTGTGCAGCGGCATGGAGCGGTGTCCATCCATCATCATCTTGTTCATTGACATTAGCATTGTGGTGAATGAGAACTTTTACGACATCCATGCTGCCATTGTAACATGCTGCATGAAGAGGGGACTTACCGCATTCATTTCTTTCGTTCACATCACATCCTTTTGAAACTAGGAATCTTACAACATCGGTATGGTCATATTGTGTTGCGATGTAAAGCGGGGTCAATCCGAAAAGCCTGGTACCCTTAGCTCTTTTCGCCATGAGATATTTGACAGCTCCTAGGTGACCCCGCTGAACGGCAGTATTGAATGCTGTATATCCATCGTTATCTTTCTTGTTAACATCAGAACCTTGCTGAACGAGATATTTAAGGACTTCTATGTGGCCTCCAGAAGCTGCACCATGGAAAGGAATCATCCCTTCGTCATCTTCTTTGTTCACATTAGCTCCACTGGATATGAGGAACTTGATGATGTCCAAATGACCGAAATACGCTGCAGCGTAGGCTGGGGTCTTCCCATCGAATCTGTTCTGCTTTGATCCCTCAGACAAGAGATATTTGACGGTTCCTAGGTGGCCCCCTTGAACGGCAGCATTGAATGCTGTGCATCCATCGTTATCTTTCTTGTTAACATCAGATCCTTGCTGAATGAGATATTTAAGGACATCTATGTGGCCTCCAGAAGCTGCACCATGAAAAGGAATAATCCCTTCGTCATCTACTTCGTTCATATCAGCTCCACTGGACATGAAGAACTTGATGATGTCCAAATGACCAAAATACGCTGCAGCGTAGACTGGGGTCATCCGGTTATATCTGTTCTGCTTCGCTCCCTTAGATACGAGGTATTTGACGGCTTCTAGATGGCCATATTGAACGGCAGCATTGAATGGTGTCCACGCAGTGTTATCTTTCTTGTTCACATCAGATCCTTGCTGAATGAGATATTCCATGACTTTCAAGTGGCCGCGAGCGGCTGCACCGTCGAGAGGAATCCTCCCTTTGTCACCTTCTTTGTTCACGTCAGCTCCTTTGGATATGAAGAATTGGACAATATCCAAATGACCAAAATATGCTGCGGCATAGAGTGGGGGCATTCTATCATATCTGTTCTGCTTCGCTCCTACAGTCACGAGATATGCAATGGCTTCTAGATGGCCATATTGAACGGCAGCATTGAAAGGTGTCCAACCCTTGGCACTATCGTAGTTCACCTCAGACCCTTGTTGAATGAGATATTCCATGACTTCTAAGTGGCCTTGAGCAGCTGCACCATGGAGAGGAATAATCCCTTCACCATCTTCTTCGTTCACATCAGCTCCTTTGGATATGAAGAATTTGACGATATCTAAATGACCGAAATATGCTGCGACATGGAGTGGGGTGAATCCAATATATCTGTTCTGCTTCGCTCCTTTAGCAATAAGATATTTGACGGCTTCTAGATGGCCATATCGAACGGCAGCATTGAATGGTGTCCAACCCTCGGTATCACACTTGTTAGATCCTTGCTGTATGAGATATTCCATGACTTCCAAGTGGCCGTGAGTGGCTGCACTGTGGAGAGGAATCCTCCCATTGTCATCTTCCTCGTTCACATCAGCTCCTACGGATATGAAGAATTTGACGATCTCTAAATGACCAAATTGCACTGCGGCATAGAGTGGTGTCATACCAGCATATCTGTTCTGCTTCGCTCCTTTAGTCATGAGATATTTGACGGCTTCTAGATGACCATTGTTAACAGCAGCATTGAATGGAGTCCGGCCCTTGGCATCTTCCTTGTTAACATGGGATCCTTGCTGAATGAGATATTCCATGATTTCCATGTGGCCTTGAGCAGCTGCACCATGGAGAGGAATAATTCCTTCACCGTCTTCTTCGTTCACATCAGCACCATTGGATATGAAGAATTTGACGATTTCCAAATGACCACGTAGTGATGCGACATGGATTGGAGGCATTCTGCACAAAGTGATCTGCTTCGCTCCTTTAGTCACTAGATATTTGACGGCTTCTAGATGGCCATATTGAACAGCAGCATTGAAAGGTGTCCAACCTTTGGCATCACTCTTGTTTACATCAGACCCTTGCTGAATGAGATATTCCATGACTTTTAAGTGGCCTCGAGCAGCTGCACCATGGAGAGGAATAATCCCTTCACCGTCTTCTTCGTTCACATCAGCTCCTTTAGATATGAAGAATTTGACAATGTCTAAATGTCCAAAATATGATGCGGCATGGAGTGGGGACGTCCTACCTTCATTTGTGATTTGCTCCGCTCCTTGAGTCATGAGATATTTGACGGATTCTAGATGGCCATGTTTAACAGCAGCATTGAATGGAGTCAACAAAGCGTTATCTTTCTTGTTAACGTCGGATCCTTGCTTAATAAGGTATTCCATAACTTTCAAGTGGCCGCGAGTAGCTGCACCATGGAGAGGAATAGTCCCTTCGCCATCTTCTTCATTCACATCAGCTCCTTTGGATATGAAGAATTTGACGATATCTAAATGACCAAATAGTGATGCGACATAGAGTGGAGACATTCTGCAAAAAGTGATCTGCTTCGCTCCTTCAGTCACGAGATGTTTGACGGCTTCTAGATGGCCATATTGAACAGCAGCATTGAATGGTGTCCAACCCTTGGCATCTGCTTTGTTAACATCAGATCTTTGCTGAATGAGATATTCCATGACTTTCAAGTGGCCTCGAGCAGCTGCACCATGGAGAGGAATAATCCCTTCAGCATTTTCTTCGTTCACATCAGCTCCTTTGGATATGAAGAATTTGACAATATCTAAATGACCAAATCGTGCTGCGGCATCGAGTGGGGACATGTCAGCGTATCTGTTCTGATTCGCTCCTTTAGTTAGGAGGTATTTGACGGCTTCAAGTTGACCATATTGGACTACAGCATTGAAGGGTGTCCAGCCAGTGTTATCTTTCACGTTCACATTAACGTTTTCTGCAGTGAGGCTCTCTAAGATGTCGACATAACCTTTTGTAGCTGCTGTATGAAGAGGTGTCTGACCCAGCTCACATTCAACACCTACGTCTGCCCCTTGCAGAATGAGAAAATCAACGATGTGTGCATGTCCTTCATGAGCCGCCACATGAAGAGGACGGAGTCCACCCTTACTTGGTTTATTGGGGTTTGCTCCCCGTGAAATGAGGTCTTCAACACCTTCGAGATGACCTTTTAATGCTGACTTGTAGAGCTGTGTGTATCCCACCTCATCCAGCTGATCTATGTCAGGGTTGAATGGTAGCTCTGGTTTGGAAGCACTAACATCGCTCAGTGATGCTTCATTCAGTGTGGTATACATTGCATACGAAGCATTATTCGTACCAGTCTCTAAGATGTCCTTGATTTCTCGTTGCTGCAGAGGAGATGTGCGTTCTTCCATTAGGACGCACTTGTCATCAGCGGATGCGTCGGTATTCAAATTAACAAGAGCGCTGTGTGACAGCTCATTATGTTCATTTTCTATATCTGCACCCGGTTGTAGTGATGTAGGCGTATTAGACAGTGCACTAGATCTATTTGTATGCTCTTTTTGTGCTTTATTGTGTTCAGTTTTCAAAGCACCGTGTGTATGGTGTGATGGCATGTTTTGCATCGGTGTGATCAGCGGTATACCAGTTCCTTTGGTCCTATAACAAAAGGCATAATTCAATTGTTGTACTCTAAATGATCTTATGGAATCTAAACTCTAAAACTGTTAAACCCTTTACGTCATTTGATTTATACCATCTTCGGAGAAAGAGAGAAAGGGAGAGGTGGGTGGGGATTAATTTGTTTCATATATGGGATGTAACATTTAAAGTATATTGCCGCATATTGATACATTATTAACTGTTCATGTATCTGCCAGATTAGAGCATAGTTATTTCTTTTCAAAGTAAGTCGAAAGCAAGTTAATGCATTTGTAGATATCATTTCGTAAGGGATAATGTGAGATTTAAAAAAAAAAATGTAATATTAAAATGGTAAAATAAAGGCGAATTCAGTCTTATCATTAATAAATGGCGTAATGAATAACAAAGAAAATCACAATAGGTTTTTCATCTAATCGGTTTGTGTGCATCATGATATCAAACGTTTTAGGGGGTTTCGTAAACATGCATTCAACTGAGCGGATAGTTTTTTTTTTTAAAGAATGAAGCCTCATGAAGAAGTGAATGGATCATACTAAATTTTTCCAAGAGGAGGACAAAATTAATATAGAGGTTTAAGTACTGAAATGGAAAATCGACTGTTTAGCTAAAATGAATTCCATTTTGGACAAGCGTGTCATGACTAGTTGCAATAACTATCCAAGTAAAATGAATGGTTACAGACAGTGGTGGTTCAAATCAAAGGTTTTCAAGTCTGATGTCCATGGAGATAAATAAAATGTCAAGGCATGAACATACATACATCTGATATGATCGCGTTTTTCGTTCTAATTTTTTTCTCATAACATAATAGTTTTCTTATTCGAAATCTCGCTCCTCATTCACCTCTTGTCTCCTTTTTTTTTTCTCTCTCTCTCTCTCTCACTCTCTTTCTCATTCTCTATATTTTGATGAGCACTCTTCTTGATTTGTTTATCGTTTTCATTTTTATCATCTCTAGAAATTGTCCATATTTTGTGAATGAGCAAAGATAATACATTAAGTTCTTGCTCATGTAGATAACGATTTTTCCATTTATTCACTGATAAATACACGAGCGATACGATTCACGTTAGTGTAATTTCCCGAATATAGCTCGTTATAATCATTAATAACACATATTTCTTGGCATACCACAACCTTGGGATACGCTTTGCTGGTGTTTATATGTGAAGATGATAATTGATAACAAAACAAACTCACATTTTCCGTTCCTGAATTCCTACGTCACTTTCAGCGTCTTGAAAAAGACTTTTTTCATTTTCAGTCTCTTGTTCAAACCCGCCAGATTCATCAGTATCCTGAACAAAAATAAACAAAACCAAATTTCATCACAGTTAATGAATCATAATTTCACAGGGATTTATCTTTTCAATGATTAATCGTTTTTACATATGACACTGAAAATTTGGAAACAATATGACATCACCTGGAACAAATTCATACATTATTGTACGCTAATTCATGCTGTTACCACGTTTAAACTATGGAAGCTGGTGCGTCGAGCAATTTCGGCGTCTGGTCGCCGCTGGGAGATCAGTCGATCACTAATCGGCGAGTTCAAAATCGGTCGGCAGCCTTTGACCTAGCGGCTTTGATTTTTGACCTAAATCGCTCGACGGCGAACGCTCGGGCACCTAGTGTATTTTGGTGCTCCGCCGATCATAGGCCGGCCGCCGGGCAATTTCTTTAAAATCAGTCGGTCGAATTTAATTTATTGTGGTTTTTTTTTTTCTGTTTGTTTAGGTGTTATGTTTTTGGTTTGCTTTTGTTATTGTAATAGTTTTTTATTTTAAATAATTGATAATAAATATTGTATGATTCAAATAGTCCTATTTTAAAAGATATATGTTTAATTTGATATTTCACATGTATGTACAACTTTGTACTGTTGTATTATTATACTTATGTTTTTATACTGTCATTGTATTATGCAGGGCTTTCTTGAAAAGCAGATCCACTGGCTTCAAGTGGGACTGAACGAAACTACCCTGTTGAAAGAAATCATGAATACATAAAATAAATAAATATTTCTATAACAAAGTTTGTTGATGGTTAAACCACTTATCCTATAAATACATTTAGAACAAAGGTATACAACCACCATATCTTTCTATTTGGTGAATTTTTGTACAGGACAACTAGTTGGGGTGCACGCGTAATTAATCATAAAGCAGCCTCATTGGCCCGTATTCTGAATTCAGGTTTAACTTTAAACCTAGGTTTACGTCTAGTCTAAGTCTCGCCTAACTCTCAGATTTAAACCTAGGTTTAAAATTGCGTTTCTGAAGTCAGGTTTAACTTAAACCTAGGTTTAAGCCTGGTCTAACTTTGTAGAAATTGTACACATATTTAAACCTGGGGTACACCTAGTTTAAGTCAGGTCTAACTATTTGTTGGAAATTCAGAGAAGAAGAAGACACCATTAAAAGGCATTACAACGAATTATTGGAAATAGTGAGACCGGGGAGACCTCTTGTGGAAAAAAACAAAACCTTTCACATTCATGGCGACGATGATTTGTTTTGCATCGCTGTTGTTTTTTAAATACCAAACAAACTGCGATTTGCACTTGCTAGCCAGCTGACTCCAACACTAGAGACAAACACATCGCCGTGCGGATGAAAGTCGGCCTTGCGATTTTATACCTTCGCCAAGTTTGAACATTAATTTGGATACTTCATTTGCTTATTGAATCTTTATGCCTAATATTTTCTAAGTCTTAAGATTTTATATGTTATATAAGATTGTGTGATTTGTATAGTACGACAATTCTTAAAACTAAAAAGTTACCAAAGTAAATCAACACGTATCACTTTGTTGCAGAGGAAAAAAAATATAGTAGCCCCATACCTTTAGTTTGACGTTATGCTCACGTATTTGAAACTGTGAGTGCAATACACGTTTTCGAATTGCGTCCCAACGATGTAAACAAATGCGAGTTAAAATAAACTTGCAAGGTTGGATTAGGCCTAGAATTAGGAGTAAATTAAAGGGGAAGTCCACCCTGAAATTAGGTTAGTTTTAATAGGAGTAGAAAAATGAGAGAAACAAGTCGGTGAAAGTTTGAGCAAATTCCGATTAAAAATAAGGAAGTTAGGATTTTTTAAGTTGTGATCAATCAAACACAAATTGGCAACTCTATGACGTATCATGCGAGCTCAACTTCCATTTGCTCAGTACTAAAAAAATCTAAAATTTTCATTTTCCCTCAAGAAAAATTTCAACCATACTTGCACCCTAAATATAATAATTGCAAATATGTTTCTATACTTCCCCTGCAAGGAACAAATATATATTCCGTCATCAATAACGAAGAAAACATGATTTTATGGAATATTATGCACAAAGCAAATGAAGGAGAGCTCGTATAATAAGTCACAGAGTTGCCAATTTGTATTTGATTGATCACAACTTCAATAATTCATAACTTTCTTATTTTCATTCAGAATTTGCTCAAACTTTCACTCACCTGATTTTCTTATTATTCTGCCTCTATTGAAACAAACTTATTTTTGGGGTGGACTTTCCCTTTAATGTAGAGCTAAATCTATATTTATGAGACAATCATGGATTAATTAAGAGCCAACGAGGGTATTACTTTTAAGCCGGAACTTTAGTATAGTTTTGGGTAATTCTACAATTTCTGCCCATATCAAATAAAAAATAAACTAGGGTCTAGATCTAGTCTAGACCCTAGGCCTATAAGTATGATTAGGCGCGCCTAGTCTATTAATATTATGATGTCAAAACATCCAGAACATCCTAAAGATGCACTAGATTCTAGATCTAGACCTAAATAAGATTAAAATGACTAAAAGAGAAATGATTAACAATACCTTCTTGATGCAGAATAACTAGTCCAAAGTCAACATTGAAGCTCATATGGTCGAGTTTTAAGCTTTTTTTTACGAACAATGCAATACATTTTCTAACCGTGTGTACGAATGAATGCGCGCATGGTACGATCGAATGATATGCGCGCTTGGCCGGTGACCAAAAAGGGGATCGTGATACACGACACGTCGGTTCAAAAAAGGATTGCATTGTCCTAATAAAAATCGCCTAAAAATCAAGTAAATAAGCTTCAGCAATGTTGACTTTGGACTAGTAATTCTGCATCAAGAAGTTATTTTTGACCATTTTTAGTTTCTCTTTTAGTAATCTAGACTAAATCTTATATAGAAAATCTAGAGCATTTTTAAGATGTTCTGGAAGTTTTGACTAATCTGGGCAAAAAATTGTAGAATTACCGATTTTTTTAATGATTATTTATTTATTCGTAAGGATCAATTCCACCTCGATTCAGACTTTTTCAGCAGTTTAACAATAAATCAAAGGGTAAAACAAAACAAAAAATCATGCCATAACGTTCAACGGTTGCTTCGAAAGAGATTTGTTTGTGTCGAATATTTTCAATTGAAATTATTAAATTTGCAGCACGAAATCCAGCTATGAAACAGCCTATATCAGCGCAGCTACCCTGGAAGATGGGTGAGCTGTACTTAGCATGTGCAGTAGAAGCAGACTACATCTCCATGGTAGTTAAACCTTAGCTTAACTTTAAACCTGGGTTTTAGACTTAAACCTGGGTTTAACTAAACCTGGCTTTCAGAAACTGAAATGATACTTAGACCTGAAGTCTGGCTTAGTTATACCCGGGTTTAAAGTTACACCTGGGCTTAACTAAACTTGACTTCAGAATACGGGCCACTGAGTTTAACTGGAAAACGGTGCTCCATTATAAATTTTACTTTATAAATGACAACGGAATTAAGCAGTTTAATTTTAAATATATTCATAGAATATTGCCCAGTAGAGACAATTTATGTAAATGGAAGATTAAAAATAATAATCTAGATGATATATGTAAGATTCCAGATACAACTAACCACATTCTCCTGGCTTGCAAGAAGGTTTCGCTTTTTTTTTAAAGATTGTATCAAAATTAATCGAAACTTTGTTTAATTTTAAAATCTTTTTGAACGAAGAAATTCCTTTAATAAGTCAGGAAATAGAGAGAAGAGAAATGAATCTTGTCAATCTTATTTTAAACTGCGCTCAGTTTATTATCTATAGAAACTATATTAGAGAATGTTTTGGAAGTGAAAAGCACAGGATACATGCTGCATATTTGATTAAAGAATTAAAGGTGTAAATCTCAATATGAAATGTAATTAAAAGAAATTCGATACAAACGAAGTTACAAAAAGGTTTTCATTATTTTGGTTAGTGATTATGTCACATTAGTCTGTTAGTTTCATGTTCTGTACTATGTATGATATATCACAACTGCATGAATTCTGTATTCAAACACTGTTGTAAATAGCTGTTATTTTATGATATAAACAAATAAAGTCCCTCGAAAGAGGATAAATAGAAGGAAAAAATAATAATTTTGTATGACGTTACTTAAGCCACTTAAATATTACAGTGGAATTTTCCTATAGATTGCGGCTCATAAGCCATGTCCGGCTCGTCAGACGATTTGATACGGCGACAACAAGATTTAACAAGTCGTTTTGGTACGAATAGAAGTAGATAAAAATAAATCCTTACTGACTGTGAACATTAACTAAATCAAATATTCTATTTGGTGGCTCACTGACCATTTAATTTGCAATCATATTATAACAGGTACCGGAACAAAACACAAGAGACCAGCCATAACGGTTTCGCAGGCCTTCTGACAACTGTTTAAAAGGTCCAATAGACCGACGGCCTACGAGGCCGAAAGCCCGCAGGATTCGTGTACCCTATTTCATGAATTTCTTTCGGTTTCATGAACTGTTGGTCTCGAGTGCCGAGGATCTAGTAGACTTTTGTCCTTTTTTATATTTTGTTATGCATTTCTATCTTTTCACGATCTCGTGGGCAGTCGGTCTAGAGATACAAGTGGGTTGTCGATCAACTCGGACGACATAATAGATCTCAGATTTTACATTCTTGTTCAGGAAATTCGCAGTTTGATGATTGATATTTATTTCAAAAGTTCTGTTGGCTAACTTGAGTGGGAGATATTCTTTGTGAATGCATTGGAACATCAGGAGTGAGAAAGTCAAGTTTAAGAACCTAATAGTTATTCCTGAAATATATAAGTAGATATAATATTATTTCCTTTAGACCTAAATGAGTAAACCTTTTAAAATGCCTAAGCATATTAAACAATACATTTTGCTTACCTCGACTCCATCTGTTACTGTTGATTCTGGACCCATCTCCACGCCATCAGTGTTCACCCCCGTATTGGAATCACCCTGGAGCAAGTGAAATGTAAAGATATTCATCAGAAAGGGGGTCACAAGGCATCAATCTTTGAGCCACGGTCAATTCTGTGTCGTATAAAGTGTGTACTTCTTATAATTGTTTGATGTAAATTAATTCATGATATATACGATAAGAACTAAAAAATAAAATCGAACACTCTTTAATTTGTTGAAACTTTCAAGAAGATAACGTCATAGGTCAACAAGATGGAACTTTAAAGCCATATACAAAATGTACATAAACAATTCAAATGGGAAAAAAGAATAGGCGTAGAATTTGATGATTTCATACAAGAAGAAGCTGATTGTTGCTCTAAATTACGTTCCTATGTATTGGATACCAGGAGGTTGACAGGTATAACTGGTTGTGCCACTCTGAGGATCTATTTGCCAAATACACATCACATACACAGAATACTATAATTATTTTAGATGCCTTTCAAACGGAAGAGATCTTGGACACGTCTGTTCAGGCAACAAATTACTTGGCAACTTCGAGTAAAAACTCTGTTGCAGGTGTAAAGTATAAGGCGGAGCAATTGCTGGATGTCTGCAAATCGAATTCAATTTATTTAAGCACCCCAATGTGCTGTTTTAATTTATGTTGAATTATTTTTTCAGTTCATGTTTATCCCAGGTTTAACAGAACCAATTTAACCACCCCTGTAATTAGATTTGTAAAATGTCTACCTGAAACATTTCCGTGTATTGTGACATGAAGTATGACGTGGCTTTGGATTGCAAGTTTGAACTTGAAGGTTTGAAGCTCACAATTACAATCTAAAACAAGGTTGCAACATTGATTGTACAGGAAACGTTTAATAAGCATACATTTTGTCGGATACCTTAAGTGCCTGGCTGAGGTTAATAGTACCATGGATGAAGTTACATTGCAGTGCAATCTGGATAACCATCTCGTTGCCCGAAACAGAAGGGTCGATCACGATATAATCAAAGTAAAAAGGCAGGGCATTGTTGCAGCAACATTAGAACCCCGAAAATCCAATAATTTGTATTCCAAATTCCTTGTGGCGTGCAAGCTATCAAGTGATCATGTGGACAACCCCGAGATGGCAAGCATCACAAAATCTTGGCAGGGTACGAACGGTTAAGATGAACATTAGACTATAATCTTGATAGCAGTGCCTATTGCAATTGGATGTTGCTTGTTGTTCTGCCTAATCTTAACTATCTGGGCATGACAAAACAACAGCAGTCTGCAGGACTTTTGAGACACGCCCATCTGGCAATGGCAAAGTAGTATAATCTGTCGTAGGTAATATCAGAGGTAGACTACTTCAGGGCAAATATGGCAAAATCAGGGGACTATTAATATTAAGGCCTGGAACAGATATTTAAGCAAGACCTCAGGCGGAACATTCCTATACCTATTAACATCGTCTTGTAATCAGCACCTTTTTCCTCCGTGCCAATACCATCTTGTGATCCCATATTTATATTTTGTATAGAGTATCATTTGAAGCCAAGAAAAAAAAATCGAAACAAAGAAAACGCACATAAAACATATTTTCTGTTAGTGACGATTTCTGACTTTTTTTGGAAATACATTTTGTTGTATCTTTTTCGAGGTAGATGCGAAATCATGACTTGAATATTTAATTTTTGGATAGTATTGATTTAAGTCTTACAATGATATTAATTATGTTTTTCTTATTTTCTTTATCAATGGTTTCAGTCTTGCAGATATACTCATGCATCAGTGGAACATAATGCAGTATCCTGCTGAAATAGTAAGCATGAACGGTATTTAAGAGGGATAATTGAGCTAATTAATCTTATACTCTAGAAAACTGAATATCATTACATAAAGTAATGAATTATATGGGGAATGTATGGGTGAATGTGTGTGTGTGTGTGTGCGTGTGTGTGTGTGTGTGTGCGTGTGTGTGCGTGTGTGTGTGTGCGCGCGAGAATGTTTGCGTTTTTGCGTGTAAATAAATAAAACTCCTTGTAATGATCAGTTCCATAAACATGACATTCTTGTGACTGCAATTGTCAAAGAGTTCGGTCCTGAGACACAATTGATCATGTCTGATTGGTACACGTCTGTAAAACCCAATTCCATGCTCCTACATAATATTCACACACACATGCACACACACCTACACCAAACCCTTTCGTATTATTTTTCAATGATATGAAGGCTGGATCTCGAGTAAGGGAAGCATAACACATTGAAATTATATTGTTACGTTGTTTACATAATTATGACCAATGGTAGAGATCTGTGGAGCGTGGGTACAAAATATGCCCTCGTAAAATACATTCTGTAGAGGATAATTTCAATGGAAGCTTGTCTGACATTATTTTTTTGATCGAAGTTGGCCGTTGTTCCAACTCTTCGACAATTTTTGTGTTGCGCTTGTTAATTTCGAATGAACTTAAATGAATTAGGTGGCCTAAACTGGCTTAATGTTGCAGTATTCGTCTCTCTCTCTCTATCTCTCTTTCTCTCTCTCTTTCTCTACCTCTCCCTCTCTCTCTCTCTCTCTCTCTCTCTTTGTTTGTCGGTCTCTCTGCCTTCCCCTCTCTCTCTCTCTCTCTCTCTCTCTCTCTGTTTATCTCTGTGTATTATGATGATCAAAGATTAAGGCCCGAATTCACAAAGGAGGCGTTTTTACGCGTTTTTTTTTACAAACCTGGTTTGTAAAAACGCGTCGAAACGCGTCATATGACGCACGAAAACCAAGGTTTGTCGACAAACCTCCTTTGTGAATGTCGGGCCTATGAGGGCAAATTAGCCTCAAGTAAGGTGGGTAACAGAAACAAGAAAGAGAAAGCCGAGAACTCGGGGGAAAACCGAGAACATGCGGACAAAGAATGTGGAAGTTGCAAACCCATAAACATCTATTGATATGGAGCTACTCCTAGTGAAGAGTCGGTCACGGTGGGTGATGTTTTTTCGGCACAACTTCTCGATTCTTTTGTAACAATTCATATTCCTCCTTTTTTTTATTTTTATTGGAAAGGGGAAGATTTCGTTTGAAATTCTATAACGCAGTAGATGTATATATGACATTACTAATCAGATCATAAACAGTAAGAATACCTTTGTATCTTTACTGTTTTTTTAATGTCTTTTTGCCATCAAATTGAATGTTATGTGTTTTCTTCCTCCTCAACTTTAAGTAATATTATTATACGCCTCCCAAACTTAAACGGGTTCCCCTTTTTCTTCTCATTGTTTTTTTTTTTTTGTCAAAAAACATGGGTGAAAAACATTTCCCTGTAAAATAATTTATGAAAAGAGAATGTCAATGGAAGTTTGTTCGACATTGTGTTTCGATCAATGCTGGTCATTGTTACAACTTTTTAGACATAGTCTTTTGCGCTTGTGCATTGATTTCTGAGATTGAACAGCTATGCATGTACCATCTATTTAAAGGGAAATCCAACCCAATTGGATATCTACTCTAAACGAAAGCAGACAAATCAGAGAAGCAAACTGATGAAAGTTTCAATTAAATCTGAATAAATATAAGAAAGTTATGCATTTTTTAAAGTTGTAATCACTATACGTAGGGGCACTTCAAATTGGCTGAAGCGGTAATGTCAATGTGATGTAGTGCCGGACTACTTTCCTATCTGTTCCAACATATAAAATGACTAAAAATTTAATGTTTCAACAGATAATGGCTCAGAGGGGTCTATTCTTATTAGGGGACCTATAATAATATATAATAATTATATAATAAAATATATTTTAAGTAGTGCCCCAAGGGTGAAGGAACTTACGAGAAAAACAGAAATTGGAGATATTTTTGTAGACGGAAATGGGAGAGTAATCCACGCCCTACGTCACAATCCATTGACCAAACCACCAATTTGAGATTCGTATAGACTTAGTGATCTCGAATTTCTAACATTCTTAACTTTCTTACTATTGATCCGATTTTATTCCAAACTATTGCCATTCGGTTTCTGTTATTTTTCTGCTTTCATTCAAATCAATTAATTACAAGGGTTGGATTGCCCTTTAATTATAATAGAATTGTTGTCCCAAAAAGTTTAGATGAAGTAAAACCACCGAACCTTAGATTCAGAATTTAAATAAAAGAGTGTTAAAATATATTACTTCATTTTCTTAATTCCCACCACCATTGAATTAATTAAGTGATGCGCATGTGACAATTACATGTATTCATTTCTTCTCCTATGTGACTCTATTTTGCCTTATTCTGATATCTCAAACATCACAATTTGTTATTTATCTTATTTTCCTGCTTTTATACAATTGAACTTATTACAAGGGCTGAATTGCCCTTTAAACTTGCTGAGTTATATTTTGCCACAAGTTTTAGTATTGGCCTGCTATTCATTTCATTAAGAAAAAGAATATATTTTATAAACGATTCCGTTTTAAGCCAACGTGTGTGAATGAAGCAATATATAAGAAATATCGTAATAAGTTAAATACGCTTCTACGTTTTGCTAAAAGAAAATATTTTCATGAAAAATTTGACAAATTCAAAGGAAATTTTAAAAAAATGTGGCAATTTTTAAACGAAATTCTAGGTAGAAACAAAACATCAAAGGCCAATGGAATTATTCACCAAGATATCAAGGTAGAAGATCCGTTTGATGTGGCAAATATATTTAATGATTTTTTTTGTTGTGACTGTAGGAGATAGCCTTACACGATCTTTACCAAGTTTAAGTGCAAAATTCTCTGACTTTATGCCTCAAATGTCTGAAAAATCTTTGTTTTTTAACCCTATTACCGAACATGAAGTTGTTGATGTTATAAAGAATATTAGTTTCGGAAAGAGCCCTGGATACGATAACATATCTCCTGATATTCTTAAACCTAGTGTATATTTCATTATTAAACCCTTGACTCACATATGTAATCTATCTATACAAACCGGCGTCTTTCCTGATAAGATGAAGAAAAAAAAAAGTTATTCCTATTTATAAGAAGGGTGGTAAATTTGACTGTAATAATTACAGACCAATATCTGTTTTGCCATTGTTTTCTAAAGTTCTCGAAAGACTCGTATATAATAGATTGTATAATTTTTTTTATCATTAATAATTTGCTAAGTCCTAACCAATATGGTTTTAGGAAGAACTGTTCAACTGAATTTGCATTGATTAAACTTTATGACCATATTCTTAAATGCATTAATACAAACAAACATGCAATCACTATTTTCATGGATCTATCGAAGGCGTTCGATACTCTCTCACACTCAATACTGTTATCTAAGTTATCATTTTATGGAATAAGAGGCTTACCACATTCTTGGTTTTGTAGTTATTTAAGAAATAGGAAACAGTTTACTGTATATGGTGGTCAATCATCAAATTCTAAAATGATTTCATCCGGTGTTTCTTAGGGGAGTATACTCGGCCCACTTTTATTTTTTAATATATATTAATGACATAGTAAACTGTTCAGATTTCTTTAAATTTGTCTTATTTGCTGATGATACGTCACTGATAGCCTCTGATGTAAATTTTAATTCATTAGTCCGTAAGATTAATATAAACCTGGACCATGTGTATAATTGGCTTGTTTGTAATAGATTGTCGTTAAATATTTTGAAAACTAAATTTGTATTTTTCAGGAATAAACAAAATAAAAGACTCGACTACTCTGACGTAAAACTGTTACTAAACGGGTCTGAGTTGAAAAAATGTTCTACTTTTACATACTTAGGCGTACAGTTGAGATGAATTTTTAACATTGGACTCTCACATTAATATAACTTGTAGTAAGATATCAAAAATTACTGGGATAATGAATAATGTGAAATGTATATTACCACCTAAACTGCTATTTACCATGTATAATACTTTTATTTTACCTCATGTTATGTATTGCAATGTGGTATGGGCTTCATTACATGCATCTAAATTATCACGAATACATCGTCTTCAAAAAAGAGCA